CCTGCAACAATAATTTGAACGTTGAAGTTGCAGAGCGCATACCAAATAATGGGACCACTCTACACGGGTTAATCAGGGTTCATTGTGCCGCCGCACCAGGGTGGAAAAGCAGGAGGATATCGTGCGCATAATGTATGTTAAGTAATCTTGCACCAGGCAGCAATTCAATGATTATATCGTGAGAGTCCGCAAGGAAACACTACGAAATATAATACACGACGACATTGAACAAAAATGGGAAAATCGGACAACCCTGAATAAAGTCACTTTTGGTCGGAAAACTACCCGATAGGCAACCGTAGACACTGTAATCCTCGAGTATAGAGCACGAAGGATGTTCACATATTTCGTGGGAACACCTATCCGCGCAAGTAATTTGAACAGAATCGATCGATCGGCTGAATCGAACGGATTCTTGAAACCAAGGAATACAGCCACTGTCGGTCTGTGTGGCGCTGCTCTAACACCTGCCGCAAAGTGAATATATGGTCTATACAGCCACGTGTTGGGCGAAAACCTGCCTGTTCTTCCCTAATCCGAGATTCCCGTTCCACGGTGAGGCGAAGAACGAGAATCGACGCCATAATTTTGTCACAACTGGGATTAGGCCGATACCCCTGTGGTTAACACAGTCTGTGCGACTGCCCTTCTGCCATATTGCAACTATAATCGATTCGCTTCAATTAGTCGGGACACTTTCTTCCTACTACTTTTGAATTGGGAGGTCGGTGCTTTGAAGAGGACCTCACCTCCATCCTTAAATGGTGCAGGTGGGAGGGAATCCGGGCCAGCGGCACGAAAAGGATCAAGGGTTGTGATCGCTTCTCGGACCTCGGCTTCCGGCGGAGGCGCTAAACTGACCGGTCATTGCTGTTCCTGCATCACCTGATTAGGAAGAGGTCCGGGAGCAGGGGGCCAGCTGAAAGGACCTTGGAAGTGTGCGGCAATTTGGAGCCATCCGGCGCTCCTTATGGTGTAACAGTGCACCCGCGCTGTCTCTGCTTGTCTCACTGAGGGCTGGTTCTCCGGGACCAATGGTCCAGATAAGCTGGAAGAGCTTGCGGTAACTGCCTACTGCTTCTGCCTCCTCCATTTCTTGAGCCCGCGTGGTCCACCAGGCTTCCTTGTCAGCACGTAGGATCCGCTTTAGATGCACCTAACAGCCCGCCTGGCTACGGTATGCGATGCTATGGCGATTGATAAAGGGCTTCCAAGCACATGCTTCTCCCTGGGGCCTATAAGCTTGCTACCAACGCCCTTAGGCCTGACCCGTGAGTGCTGCAGCCCCGTCTCCAAATGCGTGCTACCAATAACGAGAGGATAAACACGTTGCTCTGCTCACCCGCCGCATTACGTTCCACAACCTGACTGATGAGGAGGTTTAGCATGAACTGGGTAATCACCCCTCCCACACAACTCAGCAGGTTGATGCCGCGATAATCCGTGTAAAGTTGCTTGTTTCCTTTTCCCTTGTATAGTGATAGCACAAGGGCATCCTTCAGTTCGGGAGGCACCTCCTCCGCAATCCATACGCGTTGCACCAAGTGGTGCAGCGCAGTCAGCAACGCGGGTCCGCCATGTCTCGGTTCTTCAGAGAGGATCCCGAGGACACCGCGCGCCCGACGGCTTTCTCGTCAGCAGCTGCCACCTGATGGAGAAAGTGGTGCCACAGGTCGCCCACTGTGGCTCCGCATTCTACACCACAGAGGCGTGCAGTTGCCGAGCAGCGGTTTGACTCATAAACCCGTTGATGGACAACGACGGTATGAAAAGCCATCACGCAGGAGGTTATCGCCAATCACAGAAATGGCCTACTGAGCACGGCTGAAATCCTTGTAGTCCACTGGCACTACAACGAGCATACATTGCACTGCCTGCGTACGGACTCTCCTATCACAACCTGTAAGCATCTCACGCTGCCGCGTACGGCCTTAGGTTGGTAGACTAACGCAGCGGTGTACTCATTGGCAAAGTTTTCCAGTGAATACCACGACACCGTTTCAAAGAGTGTGATACAAGTATCAATAGGTAAAACTTGCAAACTGTTACCTCACTTCTGTAGCAAAAGATGCCACATGTTCAACAAGGCCACTGTGACCTGTGCAACGGGTGCGTTGACTTCAGTTACTATGCGCCTATGGTACGTCAGCGGTATGCATGGCGCTGCTTAGGACTTTAAGTGCACAGCACTCTAGGCGGAAACCACAGAAACCTGCGGAGAGGAATGATTGCAGAAGGACGATGCATACAAACCTTGCAAGCAATATATCGGTTCCGTGCAACGAATGGGTAACCTTCACACTTACCGATTGTAAGAGAAATCCAAAGGAAAATTTTACGACCCAACATTAGCTTAAGTAATGCAACCTACTATACGCCAAAGTTAACTTACTGGCAGCAGTGCATACATGTGTACGCGGGCGCACTATGGTATGCCACACAACTTTGATGAAACCATCGCGCGCGTACGTCGCAACTTATCCAATCCACTAGCTCGGGGCTCGGCGAGTCGTCATCCTCCTGTTGACACAGACCGCAAACCGCGCTGTCCGCATCTGCACCAGCCGTCGCCCACCTGGTAGGTCATTTATTTGTGCGGTGACGAGCGGAAGTTCTGGTTTTCAGGGTACGGAATTCCAACTCCCGTGACATCATGCTGGTACCCGCAACCTCCACCACACGGGTATCAAAGGTGCTTTCCATTTGTGACTCCTACCGTCATAGCCAATACACAGGGAAACACCAGCCCCTGCCTCCCTAACGAGACTTCTTGGTTAACGTCCGTCTCCGGCGCAAACCTCCTTGACGAAGAAAGGGTGCGGAACCCCAACCGGGCGGCAGCAGCAGAAGATGACGCAGCCACTCGTTGGAATATGGGCGGCACCTCCTACGATGATCTTTGAAATTGTTCCACATTGGTTAACCGGGCGAACACTTCCGCATTACTATGACAAGCCCGCAGCTCACCAGTACATGCCATGACGCCCCTTGTGCGGTGGAGCTCCTTCGTGCCTGTAAGCAAAGAATCACCTCTAAGTCACCAAACATATCACGAGCGATGCGGATTGCTCCGGTGCGGCCAATGACTCCCTCACTACAGGATCGTATCTGCGTGACCGTCACCGTTCCCTCCCTATCCACTGAAACGGCCGCCACTCCTACACTTTCCGCTGGCAGCACCCAAAGACAACCACGCAGCACCACCACATCGTCCTATGCGTGTAGGCTAGCGACGTGCACAATGTGCGCACATGGAATGCTCCAATGACGATTAAATCGGCATTCGCATGCGCTGCAGTCTCTAGGACTACACGCTTCATGTTCAAGTGCATGTCATCCACTAGCCAATACCCACTGTCCGGGTTCACACTTCAAACTCTAAGACTGTACCGCACGTACCGCCGCCGGGCGTAGGACATCTTCCTCAATCACAACCGTCCATGGTTTACACACTGCTCAACCTCGTACATACCAAGCTTATCTCTTGCAAGGACGGTTTCACTCTCCTCCAAAATGCCAATGAAGCGCTGCGCTAGCACTTGAAACAAGTGCAGTAGAGTGGCCCGCTCACTCAAAGTTTCTTTCAAATGCTTATTCTCATTCTCAACGCGATTGGTGCTGCAGCACCCAATTAACACCACGTGGCCCAGCAAATGCGCCGTCCAGTTAAGCCGCCAGGGAATCCACGTGCGACGGAAGTACTGGAAGAATTCCAGGCTGCGCACCGATATACCCTCTATAAGCCGATGATAATGCGCGCTATCCTGCGTATACAACGACGATCGCAGCATGTTGAACGGAGCCATTTTATCCTCCGTGTTACAGGAGGGAAGGTGAGAACAACGTCGCCGCATGTTGCGAATAACATGTACTCGGCATAAAACTATGTTGGCAGTGGGATACGCATTGCGAAACGTATTCACTTGCGCCGCGCACATGTTCATGCCCAACGTTTGAGCACTGGCAACCCCGGGGCCAACTCCCTTGTCCTTCTCACTGCCACTTGGTAAGTAGCCTCCGTCTCATTGGGCAAAGGCACAAAAAAGCTCATACCAAAGCCGCTAACGTCCGCAAACATACAATGCTGTGGGATGTAACCGCCGAAATTGAGCTCATATGTGTAGTCCGCCAAAATTGCCTCCCTTATTGGCCCACCAATCCGAGCATACACGAGGGGACGAAAAACCGGTACGGAATCTCATTTCCCTCATGCATAATTTTAACCTGACCATTTCTTCGCGACAGCTGCTTAACCTCCCCCACTTCCTTGACACAAGTGTTACGATGACGCCGCCGCATGTCATATAACTCGGGCCTTGTTAAACCTATGTTATACTGAAGACGCACAATTACATGCATCACCTGCATACGCGGAATATTCTTCATTAATTTACGCACCACGCTTTCCTAACCAGCTGTTAGCCGCCGATTTTTGGCATACAGCCAAGGTTGCCCCACGTGAAAATTGTGCAAATAGCGCAGACAGGCTTCTCCAATCTCGTAACATTCCCCTTAAAAACCCCTGAGAACCGAGCAGGACAATTGTAACACCGGTTACTGTTACAATCTTTTCAACAAGCGGATACACAACACCTACCGCTTTCCAGTAACGTTCGTGCGCTCGCTATGCACGCCCACACTGAATATATCGGTACGGGCATCGCTCCGGTCTCCCTTTGGTAAGCTTTGCAGTTTTAACGCTTCGACGAATGTACAATGTCACCGTTTAAATCTGAAAGTTTCAGATGCTCCTTCATTGATGGAAAAACCAAATATAGACCCTTGAAGATACGTCGGAACGCACAAAAGTCATTCACCATGGCTGCTTTCGCTAGAAGCGGGAAAACGATTATACACCGTAACGCATTTAAACCGTGTAGAATATTAATTTATAATCCACCTCTTAGCATATTAATAACGACGTTAACATAATAATAAGCATACACGTGCGTTGGAAGGCCCGAAATGTTCATTAATCAACATAAAACATTGTGTACCACAATCACACTGTCAAAAGATAATTGTGCGCAACTGGCGGATCCGACGCCCCCACTCCCAGTCGGAACGGTGGTCGTCACGCCCTTGTGCTGGTGGTGATGTCGTAAGTGCCATGTCGCTTCCGATGTTTCCCCTGTTCTCTGGTGCATATGCCCCTCCTATATTTCAAATAATCTACAGCTGAATGTCATCACAAGGCTATACTCTGTCCTTACGCGCTTTTGTTTTCACCTTGCACTGTACTCGGATTAATTCGTGAAGTACAGTAATCCCGAACTTAGATACACCGTATCTTAGAGGAACGATGGTATCTAGGTGCAACGATGTTTGCAGACGCATGGCAATCCCTAAATTTTTGTTTGTATCTCTGCGTCTTCTCTAGTTCGTTTGCATTTTTCTCACATCACCGTTTCATCCTTTGAAGTTACTTACCGTTTCATATTTGTGTCACCTACCTCACCTCAGTCTAATGAATAAACAGAGCTAAACGGTCGTCGAAATCAATAGAAAATGACAGGTAGAATCACCATGTCATTTTCATTATGACGCATTACCTGAAGGTGAGCACTAGACTTCTGCTGTGCCGCAAGATCGAAACATTTTTGTTATTTAGCACACGTCATTTTCCTATCTTACTTCAGCTTTTGGGCAACAAACATCAAATTCATAAGAATTCTATACCATCGCAATGTGGCATGGCTAGGAGCTCCTTGCCGACATCAGTGGCGTGTTTCTCTCTCCCCCGTTTTTGCCCCCTCCTTCAACCACGATCTCAATTATTAGGCACAATATAACCCTTGTGCGGTACAATAGCCCGGTCTTGGCTCTCAGAAGCGATGTCTACCCGTTACTGGCGACTCAGCAGGCGTGTCCGTTTCATGTATTTTCTTTCCTTTAGTATGGCGGCACAATAGCTCTGTTTTCCACCTGCATCTAATGTGTGTAATGAATGAGTGACTGACAATTCCACTGGTTTCGATCGCGCGCCTTATCCTTTAATTCACAACCACGGTGGAGGCCGCACTCCTTTATGAGACTGGAACTGACTTGTTGGGAAACTATCGCCTTTGAGTTTCATCATCATTGTTATGGAGCATCGTTCGTGTCGGACCTCGGGATGGTCCACAACAAAGGTTGGGAACCCTGTTAGGCATCAGCATTGCGCCGGTACGCATTCCCGATTCTTCGCTGTTCCGCAGCCTCTCGGCCAAGAAGTCGCACATCCTACCGGACACTCCAGCTAGCATTGCTGAATTTCCTCCTAAGCCGGTCAAAGTGAAGAAACATAAGGTGCGGAAATACCAGAAGCCCTCTGCTAAACCCAGAGAATTGGTTGCCACGGCATCGAGAAAATGCCGTCTTCGGCAGTCGTAAAGTCATCTGACGATTGTGCACAGGAGAATCTTCCAAAGATGCTGACCGTCTCAGCTGCCACTGCACCGGCCTGTTCTGACGACGTGTTGGTAACTGCTGAATGCGACACAAGGTCATAGGCCCCTGCTCCCGTGAGCCAAAAGAAGAAGCGGACCAGATCTGCCCGTAAACTTCGAAGGGGCTTGAAGACCCAGGAAATAGTAAGACGGCGGCAATAGAGCGGAAAACCTACGCTACCGTTTCTTCGACGTCGTTTGCGGAGACAGGGACTGTCCCAACGCCAGTGATAAAACAGTTGGTTTAAGTGTCGAATCTAAGGCACGTGGGGTAAACACTCTCCGTCGTGGCGACTGTTTCACGGATAGTATCGTTATATTCCCTGATAAGGGATTCAGTGGAGAACCACCTGAATAGATTTAACCTTCTCAGTGTTGCGCAACATGGATTCCGCAAGGGATTTTCGTGTCAGACTAATTTACTTGTAGCTCGTGAAAGCTGGGCGGAAGAGATAGACAGTGGCCACACTGTAGACGTCCTATTCGTGGACTTCTCGAAAGATTTTGACACTGTTCCTTATGTTCGGCTCTCACTAAAGTTGGAAGCTTACGGTATATCTGGTCGCGTTCTTCAATGGGTGTCTTCCTTGAGGGGAGGGAACAGTGCTTACGGGTGGGGCGTAGCCTTTCGATCAGGCAAGCTTTCCTTAGTGGCGTCCCGCAGCGCTCGGTATTTGGGTCATTATTGTTCGCGATCTATGTAAATGACTTGCCGTGGGAGCTAGGAGTATCTTCACTACGATCTTAAGCTCTGGAATATTGTGGATATCCCGGGAGGTCCTGAGGCAATTCAGGGTGTGTTGCACAGACTCTGGGAATGGTCTACCTTACGGTTGATGCCCATAAATATGGCCAAGTGCTCTGTTCTCCGAATCGGAGCTGCTAATCCTCCCACCCAATATGTTGTCGGCGGTGGTGGAATCCCTGGTGTCACTCAGCAGGTTGATTTAGGGGTCGTTCACTCATCAGCACTTCATTCTGGCGACAATTGGAAGAAAGCTGCTTATCGGGGGTTTCGTATGATGTGGTTTATCCGCCGCTCTTTCGGAATCCTAACGGCCAGTTTGTTTGTGAAGCTATTCTCGGCATTCATCCGACTCCACCTGGAATATTGTATCCAGGCTTGTCCACCGAGACAAAATGGACTTGGTGAGTGGGCACTCGGTTAGTGCAGGGTCTACGGGGACTGACGTATCCTGTACGCTTGTTTAGTTTGGGGGTGTTCTCCATGCACTACCGAAGGAGCAGAGGGGACCTGATTCTCACTTATCGTATTTTGTCGGATAAGATCGGCCCGGACTTGTCGGGGCTATTTAGTCCCGCTACGTTACCTAATCTCTACGGTCACCCACTGAGACTGCATAAACCACGGTCTGATAGGATTAGGACGGAAACTCGTCTGTCGTGCCGAGTTATAGATCGCTGGAATTCGCTTCCAGATCACATGGTTAGGGAACGTACGGTTAAGGGTTTTGCTCGCCAGCTCGATGTTCTTGGGTGACAACACTAAACCTTTCTTTTTTCCTAACCTATTCACCTTCACCTTTCAGTTCTTTTTAATGACTCATATATCTTGGTATTCTGCTTGCTTAGCTCTTTCCACTTTCTCTTTTTGCATTTACGTTTCTCTTTCTTACTGCATATAACCAACAACAAATAACAACAACAGCAGTACCTCAGCCGTTTGAACTGATGCTTCGCTGCCATACAACCACAATGACCTGCCCAGCAGGCACTGCTAGGGCAGGATACGTGGGCATTAATTGGTTGGACAGGGTGTGATGCGGTCTTTGTTTTAGGTCCCTCAGTATTTTAAAGTCTGCTAACTCCTGGTTCAACGACCTGCTGAAGAAGGAACACTCACGGGGTAATCCTATCGTTCCAGTCCCGCTTGAATTTAAACAGTCGCGCCTAGGCTGCGGATACTGCGAGGGTCACCCGGTACTTTACGCAGACTCGAACCCACGTCATCGGATTACAAGGCAGAATTGTGATCCTGCCATGAGCTGGCTTAGTCAATGGCTCTCCTGCGTTCGATTTCTAGCATGCAGTCTTTAATCTTCATTCCATCCTGATGAGTTTAGCACATTTACTTCCTGATCCCGTTTTATACATGTCATTTGTATTCTACATCATTTCCTTGCCGTTGTTATTATCGTTGTTCTGGTTATTTGAGTCGTGGCATTTCGGTGCTCGAATCGTAGCTGTTTAACTGAATTGAACACACTGTTTCGCGTTTTTAACAGTTCAGATATCATTGTTGCCGGGAATATGAATGCTCAACTAACTTGGTTAGGCTCTTCAGAAGCTCAGCTTAGTGATAGAAGGAAAGAAAGGCATCAGCAGTACGCAGTGCCGACTCTTCGCTGCTGCGCAACCACTACCGGTCGCACATGGGCTGAGATACTGCGAGGGTCGCCCTACTCCAACGCTGGCTCAAACCCGCGCCGCCAGATTACAAAACAAGCTTGTTACCTTTAGGCTACGGGCCGGCGGCTGAGTGGTAAGGGTGAATGTAATCCTGACTTACGGACAACAAAAATTGTCTCTTGCAACTGTGCGAGAATTACCGCTTGTTTCTCATTGACATCGCTATTAGGTACCGAGCACCGGAGTGCCACTTGGCGTCCACTCATAGCTGGCCAGCCGTGGATCCAAATAGATCACGTAACCATAAGCTACAGTTGGTGTAGTTCCATCCTGGGTTGTCGCTCGTTTTGAAATACTTTCATCGACTCCCATCATGTGTTGGTACGCTGTCGCTTTTCACGAACTTCACCGGGAGGCGTCCCAACCGTCTTCCTCTATTGGCAACTGAGAAGGTATCTCATTCTTCTGCCAGACAAGCCTAACAAGATGCCCTGCGTAGCACACTTTCGTCCTTTCATCCTAATGACAACTGAGCTTCAGTGTTCTGCCATGCGCGACGCAAGAGCTTCTGCTTGTGATGCTGATAATCGTCACCGCAGCATTCACTAGATATACGGAAAAACAGTGAAACTGTTGGAATCCCAAGCAAAACTACTGGTTGCTTCCGAGCACAACGTAACCAGACGGACTGCTAGGCGCGAACTAAGGCGGAGCCTGCGTACTCACAAGGAAGTGTGGTGTACCGGAAGAGCTCAAAAAGTAAAGCTGTAGAAGTAGGCAATTATCGCGTGTTCTACCGAATTATTCTCACCGCTGGTCCAAAAAGTCAGACGTCAGTAAAGCAATCAATAACAAGTGTCGCTTGGCTCATTCGTCGGAGAAGTTTCGAGAGCAACTCACTTGGCCCCCCTGCTCTCGGAATTCCTTCTACCCAGGTAGCGCAGGCTGAGCTTAGAGGCCCCATCAGCAGCTGAGGTCCGAAACACGATCCCACACCCTAATACTTTTCGGTCTGCTGTCAGATTCAATCTCACCCGCACCGATCTCTCTGTACGAATAGGTCTGGAAGAGATCCCAGTGGATTCGTAAATCTATCGTAGTGGCAATATACAAGAATGGTATTTGTACTGACCGTGCTAACCTCAAAGGTATTAGCGTAACGTCTTTGCTGTCGGAATTTACTTTACTTTACTTTACTGTCATGATAGCGTAAAAGATGTTGAACATCTATGTAGCTATATCTCAATGTAGGACATGTCCCACTGACATAGTGTTACCTGTAGTAGTGAGCTAGCCCAGGTGAAAAAAGTAAAATATTTACGAGCATAGAAAAAATCTCCATGTACTTACGATATATTCTTGGATGAACCACATGGAGTCCTTCACCAGCTCCGCCGCCTATTACGGATGGGCATCGTTTCGGAAGCTGCAGTTGGTGGATTACCGGGCTCCATGGGTTATAATCATTGAACGATTCCTTCGTCAGTTTCCTGTGAAGGCTTCGTCGAATCTGGCATCCGCAAAGTGCGCGTCCAGGAATCGTTTGAATTCCGACACCGAGTTCGCTTCTACTATCCGCGAGGGCAAACGGTTCCACATGTTCACCACTCGCCGCTCAAGACACAAGGGATGAGCTACCCACTTGAGGTCAGGGACTACCAGTTTGTACTGGTGACCTCGTGTGCTGCTTGACGCACGGACATGGAGCAGTGGCCTCAGCATCGGATAAGCACCCAGATGCAATACCCGATGGGTCATGA